CAAAACAAAAAAGCCCAATTTATACACTGCAATTTGTAAAAGCTATAACTTTCATGTAAACCAATTCATTTACACGTTTTTTTTTTAGCAAATACATGTTGCAGAATACATTTTGGCCTAAATTTGATTTTTTTACTGCACATGTTTATTAGCAAAAGTCAAAAATATTGTTTTTTTTTCCCTCAAAAATCTTTTTTTTTTTTATAGTGCAAAAAATAAAAACTGCACAGGCAATCAAACACCACCAAAAGAAAGCTCTTTGTGAGAAAAAACGTAAATTTCATTTGGGTGCAGCGTTGCGTAACTGCGCAACTATCCGCTAAAGTACAGCAGCGCCGTAACATAAAAAAAAAAGGCCTGGTCAGGAAGGGGAGGGGGTAAATCCTCTGGAGGACAAGTGGTTAAGCAACTATTATTTGAATGGGACATGGGACTTATTAATACATTGGACATTAGTTGTATTTTCTGGTGTTATTTATAGTTTGCACTTTTAAATGTGGCAAACTGTTTAATGATCTTGATTCACATTTTTTGGGCAGTGCGGTCTATATACACATTTACATAATGTATAGGAAACAAATTGAAATTAATAAATTCATAACATACCTAAAACTGAAATTCCTTTCAAGATGGGGTGACTACAATAAGTACACTTGTACCTAATTTTTTCCGTTTCAGCTGTGATATTCTTTTCTGCAAAGGCTTATCTTGTACTGCTGTATAGGCATTCCATTTATACAGACATACAAACAAGTCAGTACACACAGCAAACCAGAGGCAAAATGGACAATGACATAGCAGAGGAGTAAGGAAAAGCAGGCCAAAAAATGATAGCAGTACATAAGAGCGCCACTGTAGAAAGATAGGGGGCTGTAACTGCTGACTTTTTCTTTTGAAAAATAGTAATCCTGCCCAGCGGCACGTACCTTCTGGACCCAAGTATAGGACACCGTGAGACTGCTTCAATTCCTATGATACCACAAGAAGCACTTCTTCATCTACAACCTGGTGAGATCACTAAGCACCAATTCACTTTGGTGACCCATGTCCTGACAACAGACAATAGCCAAAACCTGGTCAATTGACACCCTGCCTGTATCTGAAGTTAAATCCCATATGCAGTAGGTGTTGATAAAAGAAAGACAACCTACAACCAAATGACAAACTAAATTTCACCGGCTCTGGGAACTCTGGGTCTCTCACTTCCTCATTGTATTTCATACTTTTGCACTTGAATTTAAGAAACATATTGAACAAGAAAATGTTAAGTTGCCTGGCTATACCACTGATCCTGTGGCTTTAATAATTTAGGTCATTGATCAGGAACAAGCATGTACCAAGTAATGTCAGAGCAAAGCCACAACTCCTAACCTGCACACTTGTTCTAGGTGAGAAGTTCAGCGAGCATTGGAGCCACTGGATCAGTGTGACAGTCAGTCAACAAATATTTTCAAAAGAATAGTCAGCCAACATATTTGTCACTGCAGTTTTTTTAATACATTATAACAAATAACACCATATGAAATAAAACATGGTAACTATGCTAGTTATACACACTCTACTGCATAGGAATTCACATACCGATGCTGCCACCTGTTGCTGAACAAAGGTTTTGCAGACATTCCTTATCAATGTAAAAAGAATGGAAATGAGGTCCATGTTTCACAAACTTTACATTACATAAGAAAAAAAGTCAATAAATATATATTTTTTCTTTTACACAAAAATGAACAGTAAATTAAAATATACAGTAAATTGTAATCTCCATGTTATCCACAATCCAGGCTCTGATCAACATTGTGCACGGTTTTATTACAATTAGTTTCTGCTAAGAATGTGTTTACTTGGCACTTTTAAACTACTGTGTATATTTAGTGTAATAATGGTAGTTACAAAGTATTTTGTTGGTATTTTGTTGGTGATATTATTCACTTAGCATAAGCAGCTTAGAGAGATCCTTGTAGTTTTTAAAGGTAGGTCATGGAAGTGTTTTTTAAGGTAGGGCATGGAAGTGTTTAGAGGCATGTAGCTGCCATTAGGAGTAAAAGAGATGCTATTGAATGCGTTGGACAGCCCACATTCCATCAGATTTTTTTTGCCCTGACTTTTATATTTGTAGAAAAACAATTATGATTGTAGCTTTTTGTATTATAATCAGGTAGACATTATCATTCCCTTTTTACTTTAGTTACAAAACAGACAGCTAATTTGTCTTCTACTATTCAGATACTGTGATGAAATGGCTGAGAAAAACAAACAGAATGCTGTAACTTTCCATCATTGACTCTCCTGTATCAGCCAGTGGTCTCTAAACAGTGGAGATACTGACTTTTCAGTATTAGTGAAATCTATATAAAACAAACTCAACAGACATATTGGCTAAGCTCAGTCACTACTTTCTCTCAAAATATGTCATAAACACATGCTGGATCTCTGGAATTAATTTATATAACATGGATACAGTGCAAAGTCAACAGAGCTTTAGGTGAAAAGGCAGCATTGATTCTCACGAAAAGTCTTTTGCAATCTCAGCCACCCAGCAGAACGCCCACATTTCCTTGGTGGTCACCTATCCCCTGCAGCTAGGGATGCCGTGCAAAAGAAGAAAACACCAACTAATGAGTACAGACTACAAGATATATTCCAGTCCCTGACCAAACTTCTTTAGTGGATGAACTTGCAACAAATTGCTACTGAGAACTGCAGAATGGACCTTAAAGCGGAGCTCCAGTCAAATTCTTTTGGAGAGCAGATACCAGATTTTGATAGGTACCCGCTCCCCACTTCTGTTGCGATCACCTAGGCGATCAGAAGCGGAAGTTGTCCTCCTACCCTCCCTCCCCATAGTCTTCTGGGAAATGTGAGAAGACTATGGGACCATTCAAAAAGTGCAGAGCTATTCGTGCATGTGCAGTGGGCACCCGGCTGTAAAGCAGCAAACTGTTACAGCCAGGTGCCCACACCGAAGATGCTGGCGCCGGGGAGAGAGGATGGCCAGTGAAACGGCTGCGATGAGGACACCGCAGGATCGAGGGACAGGTGAGTGTCTGTTTTTTTAAAAAGTCAGCAGCTACTGTTTTTATAGTTGCTGACTTTTATTTTTTTATACTGTAACTGGAGCCCAGCTTTAACTAATGGGACACTATGGGGTTGATTTACTAAAATGGAGAAGGCAAAATCTGGTGCAGCTCTGCATAGAAAACCAGTCAGCTTCCCGTTTTTTTTTGCCAAACCCTAATTAAACATGCTGAAGTTAGAAGCTGATGGGCTAACATGCACAGCTGCACGAGATTTTGCACTCTCCACTTCTGGTAAATTAAAACCATGCCTAATAATCTGAGAATTCTTATAAACTTGTACTACAAATGATAGAAATTAGCCAAGACAAAGTATTGTTTTTTTTTCACACTTTCTTGCTACTATGGCTGAAGCTAGACAAACACAGAGATTTCTCACTGAGTCTGTGCTAGACAGGGCAAATAGACGAATCTACGCTGCAGTCTACGGCATTCTGGCAGACAGTGTTATGGGCTGTCAGAATACTTGAACAGTGCCTGCAACTGAATAAATACAGGTGCTGTTCAGCCAACTATTTTCCCACCTCCTTCCATAAGAGTATTGAAAAATGTACTTTTTTTGATCTTAGTGTTGCCGACAGGGCCATCCACTGAGCGAATTTCTGCCTATTCAGCATGAATTGGTTGTAATTAAATGCCTTTATGGCCAGCTTAACATGTTATATCACTTTTACTAGAAGTCAGTGTAAGTCAACTACATACACCATTCTGCTTGCAGAATGGTGTATGTGGGGTGGGGTCACCACGTCTTCACGTTAGGCTATTAGGTACTGAAAACTCATCGATTGAGCACTGCCCAACTTCATTCAGAAACCGGAGATCCATTCTGTAAAGTTTTTTTTTTATTTAATAAATTTTTTATTCAAATGTATTTTTATTTATTTTGCTTCACATTCTGACACGTGCACTTATTGCTGCCATCGTTGCTATGTGGTACAATGTGTTTACATGATATATATAGCATTTAAAAAAAGTAAAGCATTAATTATTTTTAATAAACTCTGTATAATTTAATTCATATTTAGAGTGACACATTTTTAAACAAAGTAAAGAGCCCCATCCATTTTGAGCAGATAATACAAGTCATTGCTTCATCAGCATTGTTAGAATGCTCAGACAGGTGAAAACACAAATAATTACCAAACAGGCGTGCATGTGGTGCCTTTACTTCACATGTCAGATCCACCTGTTTCTCAGCTTTCCAGAAGCCCTTCTGTAGGTTTGTTTCACCTGCAACCACTTGACCATCAATTTCAGTCTATAGAGCAGCTTTTTCTGTATGACTGACTCAATGACATCACTTCATGCCCTTTACATACAGCTTATCATCTGCTTAGCCACACTGGTATACAGCACAGACATTTTTCTATCTCTAATAAGATATTACTTTTGAGTCACATCATTCACAAATAGGAACATGTACACAGGGAGTTCTTTAGTCTTGTAATGAATCAGGAGATATGCATTTTAGCCAATGTTGAACTGCCATAAACAGCCAATAAATACAAGAAGCCGAAGTTCCTACAAAGACTGGCTGCTTGGCAGGTGACACAAAATGAAAATTATAGTTATGTTGCTGCATGTATATCTGAATGCCAAGATAGTACTGAGATGTGCATGCAGTACACAGCACAATCCTAGCTTTCTAAATAGAAATGGTGACTGGAAATAACATACAAGGCTCTGGTAGCCAAGCAGTAAGTTGCAGAAACCTATGTAATCATATACCGACTGCCACAATTGTTTTAGGAGTAGTGCTTTCCCCAAATTCTGATACTGTTAAAATAACAAATACATCTTGTAAAAGATCCAAAGTTCCAAGAATAAAAAAAGTTGTTTTCAACTTTAAGAAAGCATTATAAGCCAGAAGTAAACCTCGAGATGAACAGATATGAAAGAGAAGAAAACACTGGATTTGTCTCCTTATGCGGCCTCTATGGAGTCCTCATCCACACGACGACCTTGTGGCTGCAACAACAAACAGGAATTACTCGTAAGTCTATTCCTTATGGCCATGTTTTCATTTTTGTACATATATTCAGGACAGCCATGCCCTACCCTTTTATACTAATTTTTGTTAATAACACAGATAATAAGAAAAATATAACCAGAAGGCAAACAAGCAATACAAAGAATTACAGGTATGCATATGGCATCAGTTTCAACTAGGTGTTGTGTCTAGCATTGTTCTGGGACCTCAAATACCCACTTTGCCATTGTTTTGGACCCCACAGAATGTATAGTGTAACTGTCATTCTTTGCTATAGCCTATAGTTCACACCCCTATGATTCAGGGTACATGTAAAAGTGATGTCTTTAGAACATCAGTCACAAAAAAAATAAAATAAGAAAATGCAGGTTCATATTCGTTCATTTAAATTGTTACCATTCCTCTTTATTTTCTAATGCAGATGAAATCTTCTTAGGGAAGGGTTCAAAGGATAAGTTCACCTTTCGTAACATGTTACACCCATATTCAGGGTGTAACATGTTACGATCGGACTGGCCCCCACACTGCCACGATCCCCATTGTGACAGCTAGCGGGGGATATTCTCCCCCCTTGCTAGCTGTCAAATTATAAAAAAAAAAAAAAAAAAAAGAAAGGACGTGGCTGTGCGGGGCTCCGGCCGCATTACTCATTCACAGTATTCTGTGAATGGGTAAACTACAAGTCCCGGCAGCCTTTGCAGCTGTTGGCTTGTAGTTTTCAATTAACTATATGTTGCTCCACAACGCCGTGGTAGTTCATTGAGCCTTCCTGTCAGTAAGTATCTGCTTGTCCGTACAGGATGTACGAGCAAGCAGATATACTGACAGAGTCTCAATTATTTGAAAAGACTTGCGAGCCAAGTAATAAAATTCCTATTGTTGGATCGCAAACTTCTAGCACATAACTACCAATGTGAAAAAGCGTGAAATAAAAATGTAGTATTGCGCTCACAACCTTCCAATCTATATATATAGACAAATAAAAATGTGTATATGATATACATAAATAACTGAATAAGTGAATCTGTAGAAATCAACTCACATAAGCAAAATATAAAACAGTGAAAAAAAACTAAAAGAAAATAATATAATAATATTGTATAATATTAATGTCCCACAAAAAATATAAGTGACTTTGTGCTAAAAAATCTTCAATATCTTTTAAATGGGTGACTGCTTGTGCCTCCTCCCTCAAGTGAAGATGTGCGCTCACCTCATAGATAGCCTGCAATTAGGCTATTAAAGCTTGCGGTTCACCTCCTTGGAACCTACTTGTTTAGGAATTGATGTTGATAAGATAACCATGAAATGCGACATGTGCTGTAGAAAAGTATCCTCTCATTGGGTGCTACTCCACTGTCTTCTTATTTCCATGCGATCCTCCATATATAAGAAAAATCCTGACATGGTGCTTTATCGTTTTAAAAGCTTTTAATGTGAAGCTGACAGGTGGCACTCACATAAATCGTATAGTGGTAGTACAACTGATTCAAATATCCACTGGCTGTCGGAGCTGTGCGCTCGTGGTCCGATATCCGGACTGACTCCCTCCGAGTGACGTGAACAGTCCCACCCCTACGCGTTACGCCACTAGTCACGTGGCTTCATCAGGGGGAATCAAATCCCCCTGATGAAGCCACGTGACTAGTGGCGTAACGCGTAGGGGTGGGACTGTTCACGTCACTCGGAGGGAGTCAGTCCGGATATCGGACCACGAGCGCACAGCTCCGACAGCCAGTGGATATTTGAATCAGTTGTACTACCACTATACGATTTATGTGAGTGCCACCTGTCAGCTTCACATTAAAAGCTTTTAAAACGATAAAGCACCATGTCAGGATTTTTCTTATATATGGAGGATCGCATGGAAATAAGACAGTGGAGTAGCACCCAGTGAGAGGATACTTTTCTACAGCACATGTCGCATTTCATGGTTATCTTATCAACATCAATTCCTAAACAAGTAGGTTCCAAGGAGGTGAACCGCAAGCTTTAATAGCCTAATTGCAGGCTATCTATGAGGTGAGCGCACATCTTCACTTGAGGGAGGAGGCACAAGCAGTCACCCATTTAAAAGATATTGAAGATTTTTTAGCACAAAGTCACTTATATTTTTTGTGGGACATTAATATTATACAATATTATTATATTATTTTCTTTTAGTTTTTTTTCACTGTTTTATATTTTGCTTATGTGAGTTGATTTCTACAGATTCACTTATTCAGTTATTTATGTATATCATATACACATTTTTATTTGTCTATATATATAGATTGGAAGGTTGTGAGCGCAATACTACATTTTTATTTCAAGATATACTGACAGGTCAGGGGAAGACCTACATGGCACCAGTGATCTGCTGATCGCTGATGCAATGCTTCAGAGGCTCCACAACCAAAAAATAATAGATGCACATTTTTTTTACCTGCAAAACTGTTATACTTCATAAAAAACATAAAATAGGTTATTTACCATCAAGGTTTTCAAAACCCAATCTCCTGATAGCTAGTAATAGTAACACAAAGGAGATAGAGGGAAGTGACTTAAAGGCTAAGTCCACCTTAAAATAAATGCACATATTTTTGCATCAAATAAAATGTGAGTTTATTCTTTTTTTCCACTAGAGTATGCAAAGAATTGCGCACTCAATCAATCAGTGGATTGCAAGTGCAATGCCAGACTCCTGTAGAGACTCTTCTGCCAGCTGCAGGAATGTGTCAATGGACTAAGAGTACAGTAATCCACTGAGAATTACTTACAAGTCTGCCTGTCATCGGGTTACATCCTAAATACAGGTGTATCATGGTGTAAAAGATGGGAGTAAAACAGAAAAGGCAAAGCACTGTGGCAAATAAAGTGGGGCTTAAAGTAAACCTATCAAAAGAGAAATATGGGGGATTGTCATAGCTGACCTAATCTGAACATTCTAGATGCTTGGCTGCTTTGTGGAGTCATTTGTTTCTCAGTTACTGACCTGATTATGCAGATCAAGAAAGTCAGAGAAAAGTCCAAATGTCTTATTTTCACATTTGTTTTTAATCAATGGTTCAAAGTACTAAAGGTCGGCCAGGCAAGAAGCATTTGGAGCAGAGATCAATAATGGTAGCCTGTAAATTTCTCTCATGGCAGGTCTCCCTGCCAACACCTTTCTAAAAGCCAAGATCAACCTCCACCCTTTCTTTGCAGAAAATAATGCTCGAAAACATCGGGCACACTTTACGGCACACCTCTACATCAAAAAGCACTATAAAGCCTCTATCAAAAAGCACAATAAGGTGCCATATCATGTAAGAGGGTTTACAGTAAACACACTAAAGGCACTGCTGGAGCTCAGTGAAGCCCAGCTTTTCTACAAATTGGTATTTGTGCAGACACAGATGAGCTCCACTCGGCTCTCCGGATGACAGTGCTTCGCCTGACGACAGGATACTCAGACACAGAGCACTGCATTGTGAGATGGTGAAGAGGATATATGATAACTATTTTCATTTCTCAGAAGTCAGGTTATTTCAGGGTAGTCAGGTAGTGCACTGAGGATGATTGCTATACACACACATGATCTTGTAGTGCAGAATAATTATCTAAACAATTTGTTGTTGAAAAGTGGTCACCACAAGTATACACCCCTACAGTACTTCACCCACACCTGACTCTCTAAACACAGGTGTAGTTTCTGCATCCCTAAATTGTTCACCAACATCAACATTAGCAGTAGGCATGGAGTGTCAGATGTTAAAGCATGAGTCTCATGCGGTCTACTACATATGGAAGGATGTGGGATGGGTCCTCCGACATATGGCATATATTCTGGCATGGTCAGTTATCAGTATATGTATGATGGGACATTGTTATCTCCAATGTCATTATTTTAACAGCATCTGTCTCTGTGCATGTATTGTGTGTTGATATTTATCATTAGTCACAACAAAAGAAAAGGTTCTTACTTTGTCTGTTAGTAGAAACGGTCAAAATTCAAAGGCAAATTCAGTATGGTTCAGACTGTTTATGCTATAATAATTTTTGCCTACTGTCACTTCTGCAAAGACAGTATACAAATTGGCAACAGAAGGATATCCTAAAGTGAAACTACACTGTATCTGAGCACCACAAACTAAAAGTGCTTTTTAATTTATCTTTAATATTCAAAGCAAAGTCAAAGTCACCCGTCCACTCATGTCTCCATGTTTTTTTACACTTAGAAATCACTTAGAAAAACACCTCCTAGCATTTCTGGCCATGGCCATCTTGAGTAAGGGCAAATGGTTCATGCAGCATTTACTTCCTTGAACCAATCTGCCCTTAGCTAAGGCATGCAGGCAGGAGGGTATGCTTAGCTGAGAAAATGCCTCCTCCCATCCTGAACTTTTGGGATGTATGACATCATTTGCCTAGGCATGGAAACTAGAATGTAACTAAAGAAGTGTAAACAAACAAACAAAAAGTTTAAAACAAGTAAATATGATACTTTCCTATCTATTAATGCTAGCAATATAAGGATTAAAAATAGTCAATGTTGATTGGGAGAGTGAAGTTTCAGTTTAACATGGCTGAACTCACCTTCACAAATATATGAGTTGGTAGGAAACGCTTCAGCATATGACTGGTGTAGTTTGAAAACCTCAGAAGATTGATGTTAAGAGATGGCAGTGGTTGGTATCCTGCCATTAGTGGGTAGAAATTGTACAGCATCTCCTGCTCAGAGCCAGGAAGGATTTGGAGTCGAATCTAGAAAACATGATTTATGCTAAGTCGGAAGCCAAATGATCATGACATCAAATATGCCACGTCTAGCCATAAAGCATAATTAACTATTATATCATATACTTGAAAAAATGTTTTTAGTAGCTGAAATAAATGTGAATGAATATGTTCATTAACAAACATGAAATGACAAGACCTACTTGTTTGAGTCCAGAAAACATGAAGGCATCGCTTGGCTCCACTGAAATTTCGATATCCTGAACTAGCCCTGTCTTGTTCTGTAGATGATACTTTACTGGCAGAGACTCTCTTACTCTTCCAAAAGAAGGGAGATCTAGGCAAGAATAACAAGTCACCCTTTAGTCACACACATTAAATCAGCCTCTCAACCTTTCAATGCAAAGGAACCCTTGACGTAACTTTCCAGTCTCAGGGAACCCCTGCTAAAAATGGCTTTATCTATAATTCATGATACATTAGTGTGATGGTCAGAGGCAAAAATGCTCCTTACAATTGTGGTCATTGGCAAGAATTACCCACTTACAGATTGCTAAAAAGATCAATGGTGTCAGTGGGAACTTACCTGACAGGCAAAAATTTCTCATTTCTCAGGGAACCCCTGGCAACCTCTGGAGGAAACCTAGGGTTCCATGGAACCCTGGTTGAGAAACCCAGTCATTGCAATAGGCTGCAAGGTTTGCAGGGTGAAACACAAAATGTAAAAGGAAGCTTTCACCCTTCCGCACACCTAAACGCCTCTTGCACATGGTTGAAGAAACCCCCAAGTTTTTTGCAGTGTTGTCTATGGAACAGTGAACACAACTGCATACAGATCTGTAATGCAGCAATGCGTTCAGAGTTGTAAAAAATAAAATGACTGACTAAATTTTATGCACTGTAACTGGATCGCATGGTACTGCATTTTCATGTGATTTGGTGAAGGCAAATGCACCGTGTTTGCCATCTGCATTTTGGGTGTCATTAGGATTACACTGACGCCAGCAACAGATCACGCATCCAATGTGTTTTGAGCGTGGTGCAGGAAACATGCATAGAACGTAGGTTTCCCCGCACCACGTTCTGGTGTGATCAAGCCCTTAATCTAAAAGCCGTGTATCACAACCCTTGTCTGTGCACCTGGGCAGGACTCCAGGCACTTTTTTGTTACTAAAGGTTTTTATTACCTGCACGACATACATTTTTTTTCCGTTTTAGTTACATACTTCATTAATAGCACGTTTATTGGGAATAATAGGTATCTTACTGTACATCTGATCTACAATAATATTTTAGAGAAAAAAAAAAAAAAAGACTAAAATTGTTGCTAATGCAAACACAGAACAGAGGACAGGACAGAGATGATCTGCAGTAGATGTTATTGTGCAAGTTACCTGCTTTAATATGGAGTGGAATGCTTTCTACCATCACATGTGGCAGTGTTACCAAGGTGTTGACAACTGGTACATTTTCTCCAGCTGAGCTCCTATAAAATAAATATTCAACCATTACACAAAGAACGATTATTTAAAAAATATCTTAACAAAGGTTCAAAAGCTCAATGACTCGGCTTCTTAACAATGGTGCTATGGGATCTCGGCTGACAAGGACTGGACAAAGAATGGAAATTGATATTTTAAAAAACAAGGCCATATGATCTCGGCTTCATTCACATTAGCTGCATTCCATATCACGCCAGGAAAAAAAATAATTTCATTCATGTCCACATACTGTATATGGGCAGATATCAACTTTCCATAAGGCTAGTCTGGCAACCATGTGGCTTATAGACTGGCCAAGGCAGATGTTTGTTACTGGGAAATCAAGCTTGTAGCTACATAATATTAATCATTTCTACTTGATGGGTTTCCTTAAAAGTAAAACTATAGACATTTTTGGTCAGTCCTGATTAAAAAATAATATTTGCAAGTATATAAAATTGTATTTGAAAACAGTTTTTATCAAGAAAAAAAAAAGTCTTATACTAATAAACATTTATTATTAGGTGCTTCCTTTTTCCAATGTATGCAGTTCTTTGTGCATTTTGGCTTCTTCTGCAGACTGGCAATCTAGACAACACCATCTGTACCTTGAAAGGGGAAGGTATACGTGTCCCATTTCTGAGTCATTCATTTGTGTGTGATTCTGCCATCTAGGTTTCTATTCTGAGAACAGTAGTAAACCAGCTAAATGAAAATGCATAGGTCACTCATCGAGTGGCTAGAAGGGGTATGTACAGATTTTTAGATGATTAAAAGAAAACACATTTTAAATTCGGATTACAGAAAGAAATGTATGGAAAATGGTATACCTTCACTTTAAAGAGCAACACCGATGTCTGTGTAGCCTCCCTAGCGGTCTGATTATGTCAGTATTTCTGTGCTCAAAGCGGTACATTTTTTTTGCATGGAAATATGTATTTTTTTTATTTTAGGCCTATAATTTTTAGGAATAACTCAGTGAAATCGGTCCGAACAAGAGTCTAGTAAACATCCCGGGTAGGATAAAACTTGAAACACGAAATCATAAATTATATTTTAATAAATAATCATAAAAAATTATAATATAATATTAATAATAAATTTAATTCAATAATATAATCAAACCAAAAACACTGAAATTTGAAATATAGCGCCAAGTTCGCACATCACTGAGCAAAGTCGTAAAATCGTTTTCAGTGTCTGATGACGAATTTCCCCAGGAATCATTATCACTCAATTCTGCAAGTAGTTCTGATTTACTATCGCTGTTCTCTAGCTGGTCTAAAACAGCTTTTGACCTAAAGGGACGCTGTTTGGACACCATGAACATTTACAGGCAGAAAGAACAGTAAAAATGCAGGCAGGGCACAGGACAAAGCACTAGGGACAAAATGTATGTGAAATGCTTTGATACAGTAATGTTATACTATGTGATTTTAGAGTATTTAGTGAATGTCACTTTCACATTTTTAAATTTCCCGCCATTTCGTCCCCGTACGTCCTGACGTCGCAGGGAACGGAACCCAGAAGACGGATGCCGGCATCGGCCGGAGGACATTGCAGGGGACACTGCAGGAGGGACATATCGGAAGCGAAGGACACGGTAAGTGAGAAGAGATCCCGGAGCAACGCTGTGAGGTATTCCCTAGTGTAGCTCAGGGTTACAGCTTGTGGTGCTGAAACTTTACCCCGAGCTACACTCGGGAATACCGCCAGGGAGGTTAAGCCACAGTGTGTGCTTTAGTGGAAGAAAATTCTATCAAATCAGACCACTAAATGATCAATGCAGTGTGTGCAGCCAATGGATTTATAGATGCAGAATAACAATGCATTACTTGGTCATATAATATTTTCTAACACCTATAATCCTTATCCAATCATTTTCATGCCAGTTTTGGCTGTGTAGTTTTTTAAAACCAAAAGGTTCCTCATGTTCTTTGTAGGGCTCTGCTCTGTCTGATCTAGTACTGGGAGAAGTAGTCTGTCAATGCATTAGGAAAGAGTGAAAGTACTCAGTCAGTTTACCAGCTTTCTGTAATATTAACAGCAAGTCACTGAAAGGGATGCAGAATATTTCTCAGTTTGTGTCTTAAACAAAAAGAGACCATTTCCAAGTTCATATCCTATACCCACTTACCTTTTCCAAGATATAATATAGCTGCCAGTGGCCACACCATTCTGGGGGTTTGCTACCGGAGGACATTGGAGGCAGAAACATTCACTAGCACTCTCTCCAGTCTGTAAGACAACTGTAAGCAGAAAAGCAATTAGAATCCAGTGTCTAGAAGTATGTTGTACTTACCACTATGTTTGTATTAGTTACTAACCCCAGGACCCTGCATTCACTATATCTGGTCTCCCACAGTACACATAACTTGGAAATAAAATTATGTTAGTAAATATAAACTGCTAAATACCTTTTCTCACCAGCAGTATACAGAAGTCTTGTGACTTCTATCAGTGTGAGCACTAGTTGAAACTTGCAGGAAAAGTCTTAATTCTGCTCTGACTGTCCTATGAGGCTGCATAACCCCTGACCTGTCTGCTGATTGGCCCTGTACTGATCACATGCACCCCCCCCCCCCACCAAAAAAATAAAAGTAGAAGGGGAGGATCAGAGAAAACAGGATCAAACAGCCTTTTTACTCACAGGTTGTGAGTCAGTCTCTCTCTCTGTCTCTCTCTATAGAGACAGACACGCACAATTCCTCATATCGCTGCTTTTTTTTTTCAGTTTTGAATTATATTTTATGTTTATACAAGAATGGATCATGTGCTTTGTCTGTATTTGTAGATAAGCAGTTAAAATGGTTCACATTTTTAAAGAGCTTTCATTTCACTTGTTTTTAAGTTTGCCATGCATTGTGCCAGAAGTGTAATTTGGGTGTTACAGTATACAATTATTTTAAATTGTTTTTAAAATGGTTTTAAACTGCTCACTGGTCAAACCAGAAAACCTGTGCATTTTCTAAATGTTTTACTTTTTGCCTTTCAAATAAAAACCTTGAAAGACAATCCCACCAAAAAAATCTTTAAAAAAAAAAAAAAAAAAAAAAAAAAAAAAGATATGCGTCTCTTTCTTACAAAGGGTATTGCCAAATCAACAGGTCCATCGATGAAATTTGAAAAGGACCCTGAAACCCCTATCGCAGATTACTAATAGTGCCATTAACCACAAAAATGCATACCAGCATTTGAAAAGTTTGCTGTAAATCCTAATATACTTTTGTCTTTTTCACAAGTTAGGGTACTGCATAAAATGAAAAAGAAAAAAAAAAAAAAAAAAAAAAAAAGACTGCCAAACACTGATTCAAACTCGCTAACAATACACCATGCTAAACCTAAAAGTAGAATTAGGCCAGACACTCTAGTAAAAGTTTAAAGAGACTTGTGACAGGTTGAGCACTGACAGTTCCTGACAGGGAATTTGACCATCGCTTTCTGCCTCCTGCACACTTCCTATGGCCAACAAGGCTGCCATCCCTACAATGGGCCAAAAGAAAAGCATGGGAGGGAGGTGGTATTAGTAGGCTCTAACCCTGCCACAAGTGTCTGAGCTTTGCCTATCAAAGCTGACTGGGATTTGTTCATAATGACAAAGTTATCGAGGCTGCTGCAGGTCATGTGCTGGTACCTTACAAAAAACGAGCTTGTGAGTAAAGAACCCACAAGGAAAGGCGTCCCCCTCAAGAGAACAAGTTTGCGACTTGAAAACAATTGTATTTATTGAACAATATTTACCAAATATCAAAGGCAAACCCACCTCCACAATAAAACAATATGACAACGCTGTACATGGCAAAGTTGTCATATTGTTTTATTGTGTAGAGTGGTTGGGGGGTTTTGCCTTTTGATATTTGGTACATATTTTTCAATAAATACAATTGTTTTCGATCCGCAGCCTTGTTCTCTCGGGGACTCCTTTCCTTGTGGGTTCTTTACTCACAAGCTTGTTTTTTGTAACCTATCACTTTGGTCCTGAGGACACCACCTTCAACTTGGGTGAGTCGGCATAACAATATACATGTATTTATTCTTTTTGCAGTGGATCCCATTTTTGTTTTTATTATTTCTATACATGTGCTGGTACCTACAGGTGGCTGCATTTTACACCTCAGTAACTTTTTCTTTTTAATATCTACCAGTTCTGTAGCTGCTGACTTTTAAGAAACTAATACCAGCTCATGCAGTTCAGCGCTGTATTCCACGCAACCATTGATTCACAGGGCAGCTCCTTTTCCCCACCACCATCTTGACTGCAGGAGCCCACTATCACATCCTTTTGATTCAAACATGGCCTTCTACCACACACGCATGAGATGGCTCCTTTCATTGGTCCACTAAAGTTGGAGGGGAAGCTTTCTGAGGTGACGAATGTGGGTTCAGGTACTACCGAAAAATACATTTTTGTTAAAGGATGGGAAGAAGGTTTCTAAGGGGAACTTTTATTTTTGTGTGCGGAAAGGTCTGCTTTAAGTAACTTGTGACAAAAGGCTACTAAAAGGGAGTGGCTATTTGACTGTGTGCAGGGCTTACAATGATGGCAGATGGGGCTCACCTCAACAATGGGTTCCCCTAATGCTCGGACATCACTTCAAAGGGGACATATATTTATATTTTTTTTCCCTAACCTGCACTATCCTGCCCCCTGAGTGGTTGCTGTGGACAGAAGATTCACTTTCCTTTACAATTCTGCTTTTACATACTAACCGTTTTCCATGTGGGATTCCAGCTGGTCCACAGGTGCGACAGATGATGAGAGCTGTAGCTGGCTGGACAGGATAGTGAGGCCCCATGGGGAAGCACTCAAGATATCCGTCATTAGCAAGAAGGGTATATCAGCATAGACACGATCTAAATGTTCAAACTGCAAAGACACAAACTATCCATCAGACACTTATGTCAAATACACCAATAGAAAATACATTAAAAGGTGTGATGTGGATTCTGTCCTGGTGCTATAAATTCCTTCCTAGGCACAGTTTACTAAATCAAGCTCAACTACTTGCCTACTGGCCACTTTCACCCCCCCTTGCTGCCCAGGCTAATTTGCAGCTTTCAGCGCTGTCACACCTTGAATGACAATTGTGCGTTCATCCAACACTGTACCCAAATAAAAGTTTTATTTTTTTGAGACAGATAGAGCTTTCTTGGTGGTATTTAATCACCGCTGAGTTTTTTATTTTTGCTAAACAAATGAAAAAAGACCAAAAGTTTAAAAAAAAAAATGTTTTTGTTAGTTTCTGTTATAAAATTTTGCAAACAAGTAATTTTTCTCCTTCACTGATGTGTGTTGAAGCTGCACTGATGAGGCAGCACTGAATGTCACTGATAGGCTGAACTAACTGGCAGTATGGATGGACACTGTTCGGGCTGCACTGATAATCAAAATACTGATCAGTGTAAATGTCCCCTTTCATACAGTTAGGTCCATATATATATATTTGGACACAGGCACAATTTTCATAATTTTGGCTCTGTATGCCACCAGAATAAATTAAAATGAAACAATTCAAATGAATTTGAAGTGCAGACTTTCAGCTTTAATTCAAGGGGCTGAATATAAATATCAAGTACAAATTTTAAGAACTGCAACCATTTTTATACATGGTCCCTCCATTTTCAGGGGCTCAAATGAAATTGGACAAATGAATGTAATCATAAATAAAATGTTCATTTTTAATATTTTTTTTGAGAATCCTTTACTGGCACTGACTGTTTTAAGTCTGGAACCCATGGATCAAAGACTGGGTTTCCTCCTTTCTGATGCTTTGCCAGGCTCTAACTGCTGCTGTCTTCAGTTGTTCTTTGTTTGTGGGTCTTTCTGCCTTTAGTTTTGCCTTCAGCAAGTGAAATGCATGCTCATTTGGGATGAGATCAGGTGATTGACTCGGCCATTGCAGAATATTCCACTTCTTTTCCTTCAAAAGCTCCTGGGTAGCTTTTGCAGTGTGTTTTGGATCATTGTCCATCTGTACTGTGAAGCGCCGTCCAATCAACTTTGCTGTATTTGGCTGAATCTGGGCTGACCGTATATCTCTAAACACTGCAGAACTCATCCGGCTGCTTCTGTCTTCTGTCACATCATCAACAAACACCAATGACCCAGTGCCACTCGAAGCCATGCATGCCCATGCCATCACACTGCCTCCATGATGTTTTACAGATGTGTGCTTTGGATCATGAGCTGTTCCAAGCCTTCTCCACACTTTTTTCTTCTCATCATTCTGGTACAGATTAATCTTAGTTTCATCCATCCAAAGAATGCTTTTCCAGAACTGGTCTGGCATTTTTTTTAGATGCTTTTTGGAAAAGTCTAATTTGGCTTTTCTATTCTTCTGGCTTATGAATGGTTTGCACCTTGTGGTGAACCCTTTGTATTTGCTCTTGTGAAGTCTTCTCTTGAATTTAGGCTTTGACAATGATACGCCCACATCCTGAAGAGTGTCTTTCACTGTGTGTCTGGATGTTGTGAATGGGTTTTTCTTTACCATAGAGAGGATTCTGCGATCATCCACCACTGTTGTCTTCCGTGGACGTCATTGTTTTTTATGTTGCTGAGCTCACCAGTGCGTTCTTCTTTCTTCAGAATTGATTTGGCCACTCCTAATGTTGCTTCTATCTCTCTAACGGATTTGTTTCGTTTTTTGAAGCCTTACAATGGCCTGTTTCACTTGCATGGACAGCTGATTTGAACGCATGATGTAGGTTCACAGCAATAGATTCCAAATGCAAATACCACACTTAGAATCAACTCCAGACCTTTTACCGGCTTAACTGATGAAGAAATACCGAAAGAGTAGCCCACACCTGGCCATGAAACAGCTTTTGATTCAATTGTCCAATTACTTTTGGTCCCTAAAAAAGGAGGGATGGCTACTCTTAAGAGCTGGAATTCCTAAACCCTTCCTCCAATTTGGATGTACTTCCCTCAAATTTAAACCTTAGAGTGTGCACTTTTAGTCCATATCCATTATATAAACTATGTTTTGGTAAATACCTGAAAAACAAAAACAAAAAATTGTGCCTGTGTCCTGACTGTAGTTGCCGATTACCAGCTCTCCTCTGCTTACTTTGTGACAGTGTGAGGAAAGTGATGCCGATAACGAGCAACTGCGTTTACATCCTTATTAGCTGTGATTGGACACAGCTGACCACATGGTAAAGGGCCGCTGTGATTCCTGTACCGTGATCTGTGATCACAGGGCACGCCGGGTATGCGCTGCAGCGGGCGCAGTTCCGGAAGGACGCCATATTATGCCCTGTAGCACTGTATGCGCCATTCAGCAATAGCATGGTCAGCAAGTGGTTAAAGAGACTTTTTCTTGGCCCAATTAGTGTTAGTGTCTGTAAAAAATACACCCCCACTCCCTCAACCACTTTAGGCATCATTTAGGTCTTGATGGAAATGGATGTCCAGATTTCACCTGCAGAGACATCAGTTTACATGAGCACCAAAATAGGTTTCTATACACATTGCAGATTCCTGCGCAGAAAAAAATCTGCACGTGATACTAGTGTTGTGATGTGAACAGGGCTCATAGAGAACAAGTATTTCAGAATGGCTACATGAGAGAGACACTGGCTCTGCCTCTATTGGAAACACTACAGAAACAGTTTAAAAAGTCCCTTCTTCCTCCTCATCCTCAGTTGTTATTGTGTTTCTGACCTTTCAGGTGAACACATCGCTATGTTTGTTGTTTTGCTGTGCGGGTGACTGTGGTTATCTGCCATTTCTTTCTCATGCTGGCATGCTTGTTGGTATGGCCTTGAGATAGCATGAGAGTTTTTTTTTTTTTTTTTACCCATTTTGCTTTACCTGGATCTCACACCTCTAGGCTGTGAGCACTGAATCCAGATGCTCCACTTGTGCCCCTTTGTGTACCTGAATTGGAGGTACATCTGCTCTGGGGAGCAGCTCGCTGGGGATGGCTGGACCTGGGTGGATTTGTCTTTGGTGCTGGGGGTACTAATAAAAGACCCAACTGAACTGCTGTCAATCACAGCCAGTGAGCCAATGAGAAGAGAAAGGGGACAGGGCCAAGTTGTGGCTCCGTGTGTGAATGGACACACGGAGCAGTGGGTGCCCCCCATATCAAGCTGCTTGCTGTGTGGGCACCTGACAGGAAGGAGGGGCCAGGAGAGCCTGCAGGGGACCTGAGAAGAAGAGGATCTGGGCTGCTGTGTGCAAACCACTGCACACAGCAGGTAAGTATAGGTATATTTGTTATATTTTCTTTAAAAAAAAAATAATCCTTTAGAATCACTTTAATAACACTATACCATAAACAATATATCAATCTAACTACAAATCTTCATGTCTATGATTTTAAGCCTATTCAATATCTATGTATTACTGTCATATCCTGTTCGTGATATGAATTAACCTTGAATACAAAAAAAAAAAAAGCCTTATTTTTTTAACCATTTGCCGCCCAGCCACTGTAGATATATGGCGGCAGGGCGGCACTCGCAGGCAAAACCACGTTTTAAAACGTGTGTTCTGTAAACAAATAGGGGGCGTGCCGCCGCCCTATCTGTCCCGCCCATCACTGCCGCAGATGTGAGTCGGCTGTTTCCCGGCGATCGGCGGCAAATAGTGACAGACAGCACAGCTGCAGTAGCTGTGCTGTCTGTCACTTCCCTGTCAGCTCGAGGATGAGCTGATCGAGAAAGAACAGTTTCTCTTTCTCGATCAGCCTTGTCCCATCCAGTACACACCCCTGCCCCCTAGTAAAACACTCCAAAATATTTTTTTTTCCCTCAAAATTGTCAGCCTTTTTTTTATAGCGCAAAAAATAAAAACCGCACAGGCGATCAAATACCACCGAAAGAAAGCTCAATTTGTGGGGAAAAAAAGGATGTAAGTTTCATTTATGTACCATATTGCATGACCGCGCAATTGTCCGTTAAACTAGCGCAGCGCTGTATAGCAGAAAAATGGCGTAAATTGCAGTATTTATACCATAGTTTCTAGACGCTATAACTTCCACACAAAGCAATCAATATACACTTATTGGGATTTTTTTTACCGAAAACATGTAGCAGAATACATTTTGGCCTAAATTTATAACCAACTTTGAGTTTACTATATATTTTTTATAGCTGAAAGTAAAAAATATTGTTTTTCTTCAAATATTGTTTATAGCGTGAAAAATAAAAAGCGCACAGGTGATCAAATTACACCGAAAGAAAGCTCTATTTGTGTGAAAAAAAGGACGTAAATTTCGTTTGGGTGCAGCATTGCATGACCGCGCAATTATCAGTTGAATTAGTGCAGCGCCGAGTAGCAAAAAGAGGCCTGGTCATTAAGGGGGGTAAATCCTCAGGAGCTCAAGTGGGTAAACAGTTTCAATGAAATAAGCAATACTGACCTTTATGGATATAAATTTCACAGCAACATCAAATGGATACACAGTTTCAATGGTGACCGTTTCATCCTTTACAGAAAAAAAAAAAAAAAAAATAATGTGGAAACACTGAGAACACAGCCTAAAATAAAACTGGTTATAAACCACCTGGTTCACACCTATGCAGTTTCCTTTTGATCTACTTCTGCAGTGCATTTTTTCACATGCATTTGTGACACATTTTGCATTTATTTATGCTTTTTTTGTCCAATTTGTTGTTGGGCAGATTAAAAAGCACAAATTGCGACAAAAAAGCATAAAAAAAAAAAAAAAAAACCTCACTACATGCTTTTCTGTAGCGTCTCTATTAAATAAAAAATGCACTGTTTTGCGTTTAAAAAAGTCCCTGGCCCTTTCCAAAAACGCAGCAGCTGAAAAAAAAAAGCATAGATGTGAATGTGTCTCATAGGAAACCATGTTAAATGGACTGTAGTTTTTTTTCTGGAAACCCCCACCCCAAAAAACGCATAGCTGTGAACCAGGCCTACAATGTACTTTCCCTTTTAGCACAAGATCCTATAACGGTTTAAAAAATAAACAAATATAATTATTTTTATTTTTCACAAGTGTTTATGTGCTGTCCCAAGGCAAATTTTGTAAGAAGTGATTGCACTGGAATCTGCCTAAGAAACTTTTCTGAAGTCTCAACAGACATATCCCTTCCATCACCTGTGCTAGGTATATTAATTCATCAATAAGGAAAGGACATGGGGCTGAATTAAATGCAGAGACATATATATATATATATATATATATAACTAATTCCCTGGTTATGCAGTGTGTAAATTGTTGATTAGAAATAGAAATCCTTTCGTAGGCACAACTGTTCACGTATATGTTAACTATACCAAATACCACCAGTGTAGAGAAGTCAGTAATTACAGATGGCCCCTGAGCAGTTACACACTGTAGACAGTTCTAAATGAGAGGAGCATCTTACCCGGTGACATCTGCAGACAATATCCTTGCCCTCTACAGATGTGTCTATCAGGTATGAAACATAAACCAGGAAAACACGTGTGCCAACTGTACCGCAGCGAATGTATAGAGGCATATCCAGCTGTAAAAAACAAACAAACCACCAAAGCTACTGAACTGTCGTATATAAATGCAAAGGCATAACAAAATATTATCTAAAAGAAAACCAGAGGCATTGCCAAAACATCCTGTACTTTCAGTTTCTGAACTGAGCTGGAAGAGAGATAATTTGAATGGGCACAAACAGGAAAACGTGCTGCGGTTTGTCATACAGAGTGACTGCCTTTTCAGCACATGCTGAATTACAAAAGGATATCACCCACATAGGAATATATATTTAACTTTCTAGGAACAATTATTAAAGTGTACCTATGGTCAAAATGTAAATCATATATTTATTGCCACATTGTATTGCGATTATTTCTAGCCTACTCCTATTACTCTTGATCTTGCAAACTTACTTTGTGAAGATTCCCACACATTTAGGCCTCATGCACACTGGGCGTTTTTACAGCTGTTCCTAGGGGAGTCTTTTTTTTTTTTTTCTGGCTCAAAACACCCTTGCATGTTAGCCTGTGTCTCCATGCACACAAACTTTTAGGCCTCATGCACACTGGACATTAGAGAAATGACAGTAGCGTCAGCTGTAGAATGCTGCGTTAAAAATGTGAGTTTTGTTGCATTTTTTAGCGTGAGGCTCAAAAACGCTTATAAACGCTGGATATCCATATTTTTAATGCGTTTTGCAGCATTAGAGTGTTTTTACAGCTGAAAAACTTCTCTTCAAAATTACATAGTTCTGGGTTTTTTCCAGCCTGAAAACACCCCTGCCAAAAAATGCTGATAAAAGCCTATGTGTGTATGGACACATAGGATAACATGCTGGGGAGTTTACTGGCTGTAGAAAAAAAAAGCCTGATACCAAAAACATCAGCTGTAAAAAGTCCAGTGTGCATTAGGCCTTAGAAGTGTTTAGTGGCAGGAGAGTTTAGAGGCAGGAAAAAAAAACCCCACTGCCAGGGAATCCAGCAGCAGAGTTTTGGCAGAATTTTTTTTTGACGTGTGTAAACGTGCATTAACGCTAGGTGCATTTAGGACTTGAGTATTAATTCATTTTACTAGTCAGAATAAAAGATTTGAGTGGGAGCAAATGGCTCTCACTGCTGTGTCAATAAGGAGCAAGATACCCAGACAGCCAAGGCTCCACGCACATCGCTGGATTGAAGGGGGCTCTGGCGAGTATTAGGGGGCTGTGGGGGGAGCAGCACACTGAAGGTTTTTTGCCTTAATGCATTGAATGCATGAAGGTAAAAAAACCTTCAGACTGTACAACCACTTTCAGAAAACGTCCAGTGTGCATGAGGCCTTACTCCTTTGAATTCTGTGACATGCTGTGTCACACATTTCACAGAGCCTACCTTCTGACCTACAGAGGGGCTGAGAAGAGGAGGCAGGCAGCAAGGTACCATGGTAAATGTACAGTAAATGAAAAGTAAACAGCAGTGGAGAAGCAGCAAAGCATGCAGGGTATCCAGGAAGTTGTGGAAAGAAATGACTAGCAGAACTCTCAACATGAAAGAAGATTTTTTAAGTAAGCTTATACTAAATTGTCAAAAATAACTAGCTTTTGTATTGCTATTAGAATAGTGATGTTATGCACAGTCAAAGGGTGGTGGGGGGGGGGGAATAGGTAAGGGGAGGGGTAAAAGGTCACAGAGATTAAGGTTATTTCTGGGGAGTGTTATGACAGAAATGTGTAATGTATACTGTCTGTTTTATTAGCTTTTGTACATTTAATATGGCGATTTGAAAACAATAAAATATTTAAAAAAAAAAAAAAAGAATAGTGATGTTATAAAATGAAAATGTAAGCTGTGATCATAGAAATCCTTTAATAAAGACATATATACTCTGATGAATTGTGGGTGTGGGGGGGCTTATAAGGAATTTACTTTCTATGTACACACACTGACAGAGTGTAAAAACACATAGTAGTGAGTTACTAGGTGTTGTGGTGCAATGCATGTGTATCATAGCTTCACTGCCTGGAGTGGCACAGCAAACACACTAATGCACATAATGTGTGTTAACATGTGTTGCAGTAATACATGAGTTGTCTCAGTGTATCTGACCGCTAAGGTGTGTTTCAATCTGTAGAGCAAAATAACACTTTTGATAATGAAATCATATTTTACACATCATACCAATATAAGGGCCAACAGATGAGGGGAAAAAAAACGGTCAGAAGGACTTGGCTAAATAAGGGACATCTCAGAAGTTGAAGTCAGTTATGAAAGCAATACAAACAGAAAACTATTAATTTTTCTACTAGAAAAGGTGTAGATAATTGCTATATTTTTGTATGATCCACTCTGAATCCTTTGTATGCACAGCACAGAGAGGGGATGCCATACAATTTCACAATTAAATTATAGTGTTAACATAGCTAGTAGCCCACAGTATGTTTACCTGCAATAAACTGGCACTATATAAATCCTGTTTAATAATAGTAAAGGATAAGTTCACCTTCTGGAACATGTAACGTGTTCTAGCTTCGACAGCCGATTCCCCCGATCTTCCCCTCATTGTGACAGCGGGCTGGGGATCTCCGCCCACACATCCGCACCATTCATTTACAATTTTCTGTGAATGCATGAACTACAACTACAGTAAGCCATTGCGGCTGATAACTTGTAGACCTGAATGAACTGTGATGTTGCTGATAGCGGCCTATTCGTTCATTCACAAGCCCTACAGCTTGTAAATAGTCAGACCGTATGAAGGTATGGGCGGAAAGCTGCAGGGCTTGTTTGCAGGAGTCTGGCATTGCACCCCTGATCAACTGATCATGGGTGCAATGCTTTCCAGGCTCTTTTTTATTATTATACAGGATTTATATAGCGCCAATAGTTTGCTCAGCGCTGTCTTTAGCCTGTACATTTCCAGGCTCTTTAGCCTGTATATTTTTTCCTGCAAAAATATGTGCATTTATCATTTTTTCCCAAAAAGATGAACATATCCTTTAAAAAAAAAAAAAGGAAAATGTTGTTTGTCTTCCTTTAGTACAGCTGCCCGCACACACAGAATGCACACAGGCGTAAACTAATTGATGCTAGTAAGGTCAGAGTAGCACCTTTTCTCCAGGCTGCAGGTTTCCTATGGGGACGTCAGTGAGCAAAGCTGGGCTTGAGTCATCGCACATTTCTGCTCCCTGAAGCGTAACCAGAGTCTTCTGTGTCAGATTGGCATCCTGCCCTGTGAGAGACATTGTTTTCCTGGGTTATGACACAATACATACTTTGCTGAGGGTCAGCTCAGGTGATCCAAGCACTATTTAACACTATGGCTACAACAGTGTTGCTTTTACCATAAACTGAATATAATCACTACAGTTAATCAACACAGGTATACAAATTTATTAGTAAACCTCTAAAACAGTATTAAACCCAAAAGCAAAACATTTATTGTTGCTTACCATATTGCAGCTTACCAATTCTTAGATGTGATGACTGTATTAGTTTCATTTTTAACGCTCTTTCTTCTATTTTCATCTGGTGATCTAGCCAGTAAATCTGTTGTTTTTCAACAGAACAAGCCTTCTTGCATTTGCAGGGATGAGACAAAGCATTTAACACTGACAGGGGTGCTTAAAATATTCAAATTTTATTTATGTAAAACCTTTATCCCAAAAAGGAAAAAAACGGTTTGCTGTAACGGATTATAAAGTATTAGCTGGAGTTTGTCTTCAAATTGTTATAGTATCTAAATCTCCTAGTATATTTAACACCCCCTCCCCCCCAGACTGAAAATTTTGCTTTCTAAATGTGCCCCTTGTGCGTCTTCATCCAGAGTGGGGTCTCTTTAATACAGGAGGTGTGTTACTGTCCAGATCACCAGGTAAAAACAAGGGGAAAAAAAAAACCTAAAAAAAAAGAAACTAATGCAGTCACCATATCTAATTATTGGTAAGCTGCAATACATAACATTTTTGATTAATACAGCTGTTAATGTATAATTTAATGTGGAACTTGCAGAAATGTATTGGATATGGTGAAAGAACTCAAACAGATTTGTATTCCATTTTGGAATATGTACCTATCCTTTAACATACCACATATAGTTATTGTTGCTTATATTGGCAATATTTAATAACCAACTCCAGCCAGAACACCCTATTTGCGATTGTGGATAGAGAGGGAAAAGGTTAAAACCCTGTCATGTTTTAAATGAGGTCGATAACCTTAATGAAGAAAGTCTGTTGTCTGATTTTAAATAAAGTCTGAAATCAAATCTTCCTTTTTCTCTCACACCTGTCACCTGGATAGGAAGTGAGGGAAAATAAAGACAGCAATAATAAAAAGAAAAAAAAAAAAAAAGGATAAAAAAAGGAAAAAACAACCCACTTCCTCACACCTATAGAAAATGTGTTTTTATTAATACCTTACTTACCTGCATCTTGGGATGATGATTTATTTACCTATTCTGTCACACCGGACAAATACCACTACACTGTCCTCAACAGCCACAGGCCTTTTGTCTGATTCATTTGTTTTTTTTATGTTCGTTGTATGAATGTTTTCATTGTTCTGTTAGGAATCGCATCACATGACAATGCACAGAAGTCAGACATCCCTCATTTTTACCAAACCAGTGAAACGCACTGCACAGAGGTGAACTTCTTTAGAATCAATGTATTTATATTGGTACATGCCTTTGTGTGTGCCAAAATGCACATAAAAATTAGGTGTAAACCAGTCCTTAGGTCTACCACCAGTGTGGTTTCCCATGACAGCCAATCATGGTAATACCATGGAGTTGGTTTACAAACAAACCAGCAAGTCATCAAGTTAAATAGTCTGATAGAAATTATAAAAAATAACTTAAGGCCTCTTGCATACTGCTGCCAAAATACTGAGCATTTTCAGGCATACAGGTTTTGTTTTTATTGACCTAAATGCAGCCATTGTTTTCAATATGCCTGTACACACATGCGTGTAATCATGCGCTACATATAAATGAGGGAGACAAAATGCAGAAATCTGAGCTGACAATCAGTATTTTAAGTTTTATTGAAAGTAAACATTGTTAATTTGAGGAAGTTAGAATTTTACTCATATGTTCACATACGTGCAAAATAAACACCTGAAATTTCGGCCAGGAATACGGTTGTGTAAACATCAGTACAATGTGCAAGTACCCTAAAATGCTATTTTAAGTTTGTTTTGTCAGATTTCAATAAAAGTACTTGAGCAAAGTATTTCATTAAAGAGTGCATCAAATAAAAGCCCAACAGGTCTTTAAATACTGTAAAATGGTTTAGGTAGTCAAAATTGGTTGTAGAGGTTATGTCAAATTGACCAACACATACTGATACAGCTAAATTCGGTCTAGGCAACTAGGGTTTCATGCCTCTGGTAATTAACAGGTTAAGCACATCCCAAGGAAAAATTAAGCAAAGCATATATTCAATACATGACATTCGCCAATGTTTTATTCCTTTAGAGACCCTGCAAGTACAGAAAAATACCTGCTGATCTGCCTAATACCCTCAGATCTCAATTGTGGGCTGACAAGAGTGGTGTCAGTCCTTCCCACTGTGTCTTTTGCTAAACTACTTTAGCCACTCCTACTGTCTTCATAGTCACAGAATAGGGACAAACTGATTAAAAACAGACCAAAACAGCAAATTAGAATGCAAGACACATTGGGGATGATTACCGCATTCACACCTAATGTCTGGATGGGGAAAATAGGTGCAGTTGTTTTCTTTCAGCCCAATGGTAATGCAAGGCACAGTGGGGAGGATTCCCACATCTGTACCAAATGTGTGCATGGGGGAAACAGTTCAGTTGTTTTCGTTTAGCCCACATTTGGTGTGGATGCGGGAATCCTCCCAACTGTGTCTGTATTCTGACAGCAGTTCTACCCTGCCATCAGATTACACTGATCAATGCCTGCAGCCAATTGGCTGCATGTGCTGATCAAAGCAAACTTTTCCAACAAACCTGTTCTTCAGAAGTCTATCATTAGATCAAACTTTTTATGAATGGGAACGGCCATAGATGGATCAAAATTCAACCAATCCCTGCTCAACCACACAAATTTCAGTACGGCTGTGGCCAGCTTTTGAAGTAATTCAGCTTTAGTTTTTTTCATTTTCCATGTTTTTTTTTTTTTTTTAAACAGAGGCTAGAACTATAAACGCACCTGGTTTAAGTCCTGCGGTCAGCTTTACATCCTTGATAACTGTCTCTTCTTGGGATTGTATTGATATCATCAGGCAGTAAATTTCATTATTTAGTGCAGGTGGCTCATGACGCAACAGGACAGACAATTTAGGTGTTCTAGATATAATCCTAGGAATAGAAAAAAAAAAAATCCAGATGGTGAAGTCACCACTAGATGTAACATTTAATGTTAGGATAGATATATGCTTAATATTACTCACATAGTGCTGGCTTGGATTGTGATACTGTCCCAATGTACTTCAGCTTCTGGTAGTTTCGGTCTGCGCTTAAAAGAGCGCGACGCCTGCACTGCCTCTTGAGCCGACGCTGCATCTCCTCCACCCCCTCGCCAGTTCAGAATCACACAACGACCTGTTTCACTACCCAGGATTAGATCCACTGATGTAATCTGACAAAATGTCAATATATCAAACAATATATCATCATACTCCCCGACAACAATAAGATCTCAAATATTCATCCAATGGTTTAAGAATAACTCCAGATCGAGAAAGCAATGAATGGATTACACTAATTCCACAAAAAAATAAGATAAAAGTTGGAAAGTCTACTTTGTTTATCTGAATTAGAGTTTTACATAATCTGCTGCAACTCTGATTTGGCACAATTGTGGGAAATTTACCTCTTAGCGTGAAGCATCTTGGGAATTATAGACTTGGAGGTGCCCTTGCCCCTTTAAACCAGGGCTTTAACAGCTATACAGTTAAATCCAGAGACCAAGCAGCAAAATGAAAAATTGGGCCTTGGGACAGCAGATTTGGACAACCTGGCAGAGCCCATGGTGCGTCTTTTAGAAGTCTTACCAGGTAAGCGTAACAAAGCCACCTGGGCCAATGCTCAGCAATGAGGGTCACCAGAATGTGCTCCATTTTAAACCTCTGAAACACGTTAGGAAGAGGTTTTAGGTGAGGAAAAGCACAGACCAGTGCCCAAAGATCCCTTTGAGGGTAGCCCCACAGCGAGCCAGATGTGGTACAGACCAACATGAGCATGACCATACCAATAGCAGTAAGGCAAAGTGGAAACCTCTGTCAACAATGCAGAAAAGAGTCTTGACTGAAGAAAAAGTGAAAGAAAAAATTGCTAGATGAATCACTACTTAATTTTTACAACAGCAATGCTGAAGAAAAGATGTCTATCCTCCTAGGACACTTGCAAAAATACGGAGCCAAGCTGGTAGCAGAAGGGGTTATGCCATGTACTTTTTTTTTTTGTTTGAGAGTGTTCCATCCACCTATAGGCCCCAGAATAACTTTAAATGCACGAGAAATAAATGTGTATGCCAGGATTGGGCATGTAAATTATTAGTGCATTTTTGGTCAAAATAAGATGGTGGAAAGACTTTGAGAAAGAGATTGGACATAAAAAAAAACAAAAAAAAAAAAACAATCCATATTTTCTCACACATAAATGTATGAATTTTGATCTTCTAATAAATAATGTACATCCACATTAGAATATAGTAATATTCACTTTAACCACTTGCCTACAGGGCACTTATACCCCCTTCCTGCCCAGGCCAATTTTCAGCTTTGAGCGCTGTCACACTTTGAATGACAATTGCACGGTCATGCAACACTGTACTCAAATAAAATTATCATTTTTTTTTAGACAAATAGAGCTTTTTTTTGGTGGAATTTAATCACCTCTGGGTTTTTTATTTTTTGCTAAACAAACCAAAAACAACTGAAAATTTTGAAAAAAAAAAATGTTTTTCTTAGTTTTTGTTATAAAATTTTGTAAATAAGTGATTTTTCTCCTTCACTGATGTGCTCTAATGAGGCTGCAGTGATGGGCACTGATAGGCTGCACTGATAGGTGGCACTGATGAGGAGGCACTGGTAGGTGGCAGTGATGGGCATTGACAGGCATCACTGATGGGCACTGAAAGGCGGCACTCATATGGCACTGATAGGCGGCACTGACTGGCACTGCTAGGCCACTGATTGGCGGCACTGAAAGGCAGCTCAGATGGGCACTGATATGTGGCATTGATGGGCACTGGCAGGTGGCATTGATGAGCGCTGACAGCTGGCACTGATGAGCACTGACAGGTGGTAATGCTGGGGTTACACTGATCATCAGGGCACACTGTACATGTCCCATCTGAGGAATGCCGATCATCGGCTCTCCTCTCCGCTCGACCGTGACAGCTCGTGAGGAGAGAAATGCCGATAACCGGCATTTCCATATTTACATGCAATCAGCTGTGATTGGACACACCTGATCACGTGTCTAAGGGACACAGCGCACCACCGATCGCAGCGCTGTGCGCCTCCAGAGCCGCGCTCTGGGTTAGAGTGGGAGGATGTCATATGACATTCTACCAGGACGAGAGAACCGCCTTGCACCCGTCATTTCCTTATATGGCAGGCTGGAGGCGGTTAATATCCATGCAACCCCCTATCCACATACAATTCACAATTTTATGTAAATTAATAGAGTATTGTCACTGACCTCAATTTTCTTTCCAACATCTTCAGTTTTGGCCACAAATTTAAATGTGAATTTTCTGGTCTTTCCTGGCACCAGGCACATTGTCCCCTGTACTGACTGCTCCAGTATATCGCTGGCTTGGTACTGCTCTTCTACCACACAGAACTGGTTATATTCCTGTTGTAACATAACATCAAAAACATGTTTGAACTGATGCATCATATATATGAGACAAAGCAAAGTTTTTAGTCAGGTAGTCTGGGTCCTACTCTGGCAGTCAACAATCATTCTGGAAGGCAGTGATGAGTGAACAGGTAGTGATGAGTGAACCAGTCAGAATACCAGCCAAGTCAGCAAATGCAAACATTTTTATTCTAATGAATGCACAATTGTTTAATGTGAAAAGCCATAATGCAGGAATGATGACTGCCTGGATTTCTAAACTACAATTTCCTGTAGTTCTTCATGCAAACATTTAGTAGTTAAAAAAAAAAAAAAAAATAGTAGATTGGGGCTTCTCCTAATTTGATCACCACTACCTACAGGCACAGTGTTAGACATCTAGCCTGCTGTCCTATGGCTTGTAATAATATTAGTGTGATAACAGCAAAGTTTGTAGTTGTAGGGAAATTACTTATTCTTCACGAGTGTACCATCTAGTAAGGTATCAGCAGTGCCTCTCTAAAAATTAGAATTGCTGATCTGCATGCTTGTCAGTCAAAGTATTGAAAGCGGTTCTAAAGCCTAAACATTCTTTACTTTAATGCATTCCCTGCAGTCAAATCCTGTGAGGCGGGAGAAGAGGGCAGGGCCAAGCAACTATGTGTCCTTGGACTCAGGCAGTGTGGCTTGGGATTGAGCCCACAGGTGTGCCACCATAGGAAGAGGCTTCCTATGGTGGCATGCTAAGAAAAGGAGGAGCCAGCAGCTCCAGCGGGGGGACCCCATAAGAGAAGGATCAGGGTCACTCTGTGCAATTCAATTGCACAGAGAAGGTAAGTATATCATGTTTGTTATTTTAACAAAAATTTGGCTTTACAATTACTTGAAGTCAAGAAAATAATGGAAACGTCTATATTCATCAAGTTTCCCTCAATCTCCTGGTGCCCAACCTGCAGCCCTTTCACCCAACTAAGGCTCTGTTATTTACTATGCAGGAAGTTGCACCAAACTCCCAGCTTGAAGGCAAATTGTCAACTTTTGTTAAAGCTGGCCATAGATGGATCAAAATTTCAATCAATCTATGGCTGTTTCCGCTCGACAGAAGAATATGGAAACGTGGACTGCTCTCAAATGGACTGTTGGAAAACTTTCATTCAATCTGCAGCCGCAGCACTAATCAGTGTATACAGATAGAGGAGGAGTCTTCACTGTCAGAATACAATAGCACAGCAGGGAGGATTCCTCTATGCACCCCACTTGTGTTGATGTGTGAATCTGTTTAGCCAGAGGGCTGATCAAAAAAAAAAAAAAAAAAAAAAAAAAAAAAAGGAATTATCTATGGCCAAGGCTGATCGGGAAAAAAAAAAAAAAAAAAAAAAAAAAAAAAAGGAATCATCTATAGCCAGCCTTACTTAATAACTAAATGCTGCCCTTGCCATTAGTGGCTCCAATTTTAGAGATACATTGTGCCCCTATGGCTAAACCTCACAATCAGTGTATTTTTTGTTACTGGTCATTTAAGCTCTCTATTCATATTGTGGGTTGATGAGTGGACTGGGCTTCAGTCAAATCCCTAGTGAGAGTATTATACTTTGGGTTCCCTGCAGTTTGGAGAAACCTTGAAATGCTCATATTCATGACTTTTAGTTTGAAATCTTTAAAGAGATGGCTATTTCTAAAAAGAAAAACGTTTACACACACACACTTTATTCTCAAGGTTTGACAATGTTTAGTAATTCCATCATGGTTGTCTCTAAAGCACCCACTGCACAAAGGAATCATGAGAAGGATAACTCTGGTGTACATTACCTGGTTACTAAATCCAACACAGAGCTTGGAGAAGCGGATTGGATGTGGACAATCTGTTTTCAGATATACATACAGCTCAACTGGAGTATCAACATGAAAACTTGGGGCCAGGAACTTGGCTTTGCATTGTACTGAAAAAGGAACAGACACAAGATGGTAGAGAACCACAAATGGCAGGTTTATTAAAAATCTACAGAATACAAGAAGTGCAGAAATGGATACCAGTTTCTAATGTACAATACATTAGGACTTCATGTGGTAAGGTATGTTTAGCTAAAGGATAGCTCTTTTCTGTAATCCTAACAAACCTTTAAGTAATTTGATAAATATCATGGATTACAAGCCAATTTGTAAAATCAACTATCATGCCACTCACAAACTGGGAAGGGGACACTATCTGTAACACCCAGAAGTGAGCTCTTCAAATGAGGAAAATATTCACACACCATTTGCCAGACAGCCAAGTATAAATAGGCTTCTTTTATAGAATGCCTTCCTTTTAGTTTAACCAATGCTGACTACCCTTTAAAGGTCTTAATCTAGCCAAACAGCAAGCAGGCACCTCACTGAAAACAACAGGCAGTGAAATACAGTGGGGCAAAAAAGTATTTAGTCAGCCACCAATTGTGCAAGTTCTCCCACTTAAGATGAGAGAGGCCTGTAATTGGCATCGTAGGTAGACCTCAACTATGAGAGACAAAATGAGAAAAAAAAATCCTGACAATCACATTGGCTGATTTGGAAAGAATTTATTTGCAAATTATGGTGGAAAATAAGTATTTGGTCACCTGCAAACAAGCAAGATTTCTGGCTCTCACAGACCTGTACCTTCTTCATTAAGAGGCTCCTCTGTCCTGCACTCATTACCTGTATCAATGGCACCTGTTTGAACTTGTTATCAGTATAAAAGACACCTGTCCACAACCTCAAACAGTCACACTCCAAACTCCACTATGGTGAAGACCAAAGAGCTGTCGAAGGACACCAGAAACAAAATTGTAGACCTGCACCAGGCTGGGAAGACTGAATCTGCAATAGGCAAGCAGCTTGGTGTGAACAAATCAACTGTGGGAGAAATAATTAGAAAATGGAAGACATAAAAGACCACTGATAATCTCCCTCGATCTGGGGCTCCACGCAAGATCTCACCCCGTGGGGTCAAATTGATCACAAGAACGGTGAGCAAAAATCCCAGGACCACACGGGGGGGACCTAGTGAATGACCTGCAGAGAGCTGGGACCAACGTAACAAAGGCTACCATCAGTATCACACTACGCCGCCAGGGACTCAGATCCTGCAGTGCCAGACGTGTCCCCCTGCTTAATCCCGTACATGTCCGGGCCCGTCTAAAGAGCTAGAGAGCATTTGGATGATCCAGAAGAGGATTGGGAGAATGTCATATGGTCAATGGTCATATGCCAGACCATTGCCCAACTACCAGGCAGGCATAGTACACTAGAACAACATAGTTGCTACAATCAATTTTGCTATCTCAGGCATAATTTGGTTTTCTACTAAAACACTCAAGATGGAGGAAAGCTTTAGGTTTACACTTATGCACTCTACAAAAACACTCTCAATAATGTGTCATTCCCCAAAACTATTGTATCAACACAATTTACTTTTTATTGGAGATGCCTGACACTAAGGGTTTATCTACTAAATCTGGAAAGTGCAAAATCAGGCTCACTTCTGCAAAGAAACCAATCAACTTCTAACCTCAGCTTGTTCAATTAAGCTTTGGCAATAAAACCTGGAAGCTGATTGGTTTCTATGCAGAGGTGAGCCTGATTTTGTAATCTCCAGCTTTAGTAAATAAACCCCTAAGTGATAAATAAAAGGTTTAAAACTTTAAAAGATTGTGTAAAACTAATTAACAACTAAGTATAGTATACTGGGTAGCAATATGTTTTAACTTCAGGTGATACATACCAAATGGTACAAAGTCCTGAACCTCAATGGTAAACACATTGCTACCTGCCAGAGAAACTCTGTCTACCCACAGTCGTTGTGCTGTTTTTACCATGGAGGCATCACAATCTGGTTCTGGCTCAGGATTTTCATTCTGCAAAGAAAGGAGATGACACAGTAAGCCACAAACATGTCTATATCAAAAACATTCTTCACTTATCTCCTGTGATGAACTCACCATTAGCACATTAATCAAGTTCTTCTCAATCCTAGACTTCTGATCATCTTTCAGTGTTGAAGCTGTTTGCAGAATTGAGATTCAATCATACAATCTGGTAAATTGCACTTGTATATACAGCCATTTTAATTCTCAGTTATGCAATATCATGTTAACATCTATAGTGGCCTGGAGTAAAAGACATATTAGGATATGAAGGTTGATTTATTGAAGGAATAGAAGTGATTTACTTAAAGGGAATCATAGTAAATGATGTCCACCTGTGTTAAATCTGTAATTTGCAAGATAAATTAACCACTTGCCTACCGGGCACTTAAACCCCCTTCCTGCCCAGGTCAATTTTCAGCTTTCAGACCTGTTGCACTTTGAATGACAATTGCACAGTCATGCAACACTGTACCCATCTGAAATTTGTATCATTTTTTTCACACAAATAGAGCTTTCTTTTGGTGGTATTTAATTGCCACAGGGTGTTTATTTTTTGCGATATAAACAAAAAAGAGGGAAAAAAAAAAAAACGTTTTTCTTTGTTTCTATTATAAAATTTTGCAAACAGGTAATTTTTCTCTTTCACTGATGTGCGTTAAGGCTGCACTGATAGGCAGCACTAATGGGCACTGATAGGCAGCATGTCCATTATGAATTCTGTATTTTATTTCAACTGAACAGATGACCCCTGTTGATTCCGACTGAAGAAAGGTAAGACAAAGTACCT